GTCCATAAAGGAACTAACCCCTGCCAAAAAGACCCTTTCAAATTGGTCCACTTCGTCATAAATTTTTGCCCTTCTGTGCATTGTCTTCAACAGGTGACATTGCAACCCACACACCTCAATGCCTCTGTCCTGTTCATTCACCACCTGTTTGAACCCCTCACTCTACCATGTGACACAAGACACCAAACTGGTTGTAGTACTTTATATAATTTTGGAAATACTGACTCTGACGTCCAACTGATATGTGCTGGTGATTCTGAATATGCCAACAGTGAGGACTATGGTTTCCACTATGAAAAAAGGGGCAGATAAAAAAAAGTGATGGGAAAAAAACAGATCTCTGCCTTCTGAAGCTTGAAATCAAGATCAAAAAGTTCCAAATTGATTAGTATGGAAATTACTAAGCCATCAAAACTGCTGATGTCGTAAACAAAATTCGTCAACAGCCACTAGGAATTTATTGAAAGTAAATTTATTGTTTGCTTTAAAAAAAAAACAACTGTGCAACACGTGCAGCTCAAGACAGTTTTGAATCTGGTTTGTTGTTCATCTCTTCTCAGGCTTCAGTTTGGCAAGGCTAAATGAGAAACACGGTACAGACACAGGGTTAGTGAGCACAAGTGAGCAGCAACAACACGCACTCGCTATTCTCTCAAAACCCTACGGCGTCTCATCCAAGCTACAATGTGGAGTGTTAAGGTCTGATCTGGCCCCTCATGTTCTGCAAGTGACTACCTTTTAAAAGGGGGAAGCCAGCAGTATATCCAATTTCAACCAATCCAAGTTTCAGGCTAAATTATCTATGCCCTCTTCTAGAATGGAGTAAAGCAATGCTGTAGAAGAACCCAGGTGACTATTTTCACTGTAATTGAAGGATTCAATTTTATAAGAAGGCAATATTACTTTTGCTCTAGCTTTCCACAGTGACAGGCTCTCAGATATCACATAGGGACAATACTAAGAAGTTAATCTCAGCCTGGTGTGGTGGTGCATGCATGCCTGTAATCCCAGCACTCAGGAGGTAGAGGGAGGAAGGTGGCACATTCAAGGACAACCCAGGCTACACAGTAAGAACCTGTCTCAAAACACAATAAAACAAAACAACAAAAGAAAGAAATCTGAGACATATGCACAGTAAGGTCACTTCTTCTAAGAACCTTCAGTTAGGGGAACACATAATTTTCCACATTTAAAGGACAATTCCAATTTTCTAGCAGAGCAGTATCAGGTGACATTTACATCAGGGTTGAAAAAAGGGGAGCACATACTTTTAAATTCTTAATGTCTGAGAAGACAGAATTTTATTATCTTGTTGATAATTTCTATTCAGAGATGGAAACTAAGGCCAAACCATGTTGCTCACAAATGCTGCTGCTTTTCTATAAAAACCACATTTAAATAACTGAACAACTGATCTCCCTCCTTCTAAAGAATGCATGTTGTTCCCTCTTACTGACAACCTGACAGAACTGCAGAGTTCTCAGAAATGTTTTATAGAATGAAATCTGAATAGCCAGGCATTTGAGAATCAGGCATCCACAAGCCTTGGGGTCAGACCCTCCCTCTCTACTGCACTTTGTGTGCAGAATGCTTACATACCAAGTCAAGATTACCTGTTTGGAAGCACACTCGGGCTTCTTAGATATAAAGCCATTTTAATCAAGGCAATAGGAGCCCTTGTGTGCCAAAGAAGATGCCGTATATACAAGAAGAAATTAATACAAACATGGGACACTTTATATTTGTTATTTCATTCCTTATAGATTTAAATTTGCAATTTAAACTTCCATGAAGGCAGCTTTGGTCTTCATATACTCCATAATTTATAAACAAAAGAGGGATTCATATGCCTCACAACACTCTTTCTTAGAGTTATTTATCAATAATCAAGTCATTTTGGTGACTATCATTCAATATGTGCAATAGAAAATCACGTGGTCTGTATAATAGTCTAAGACTGGAAATACCTACTCAACGTACCATCAATTTGCTCTGGTAGGTTTTAAAAATATGGTCCCTCTGTTTGGCTCTCAGATGTATTGAACAACAATGAAAAAATCAGACAACCTGCAGGAGTAGGAACTGTGCACGTGTGTGCTTGTCCATGTGTGCATGTTGCATGTGCTGGAGGAGACAGGCGGTAGGCAGATCAGACCTTGTGGGCCTCTTTTTGAAGGAAAACATAATTACTTCATCAATTAGACTAAAGAGAAAGGCTTCTATGCTGCTATATTTACCTAAAATGCTAGACTCTCCACTATCTAATGTCTCCTTCCCCTTAGCCTTTTCTTTTCATTATCTAAGCCACAAAATAGAAACAAAAACAACACACAGAGACATGCAGCTCCTTTGTACTTCAGGCCTGTACCAGTGCGCCCCGCTTGCACTCCTTAAACACTGCACTAAGAAATGTATATGCATACGCACGTGTTGATTAGGTTATTTCAAAGCAATGCTGCTCAGGAAATCACATGCTAGTCTCCTCAAAAGAACAAAGAGAAAGAAAGAAACAAATTTTAAAATCTTACTATATCCCCCCACGTTGTTTAAAGAAGGGGAAAACATAAAAGGATCAATCAGAAGGTTTATTAGTGTTAACTAATTAGGTCCAGTAGGTATGGAAGGTGGTTTAAAAATGTTTTTAAAAATCTAACAATGCTTTCTAAATACTAATGACACGTAATAAAGGTGTGAAAGAAGGATTAAGAACCAACATTGGAAAAAAAAAGCTTGTTTTATGTTTAATAAACTACAGTCAACTTATTTTTAAGGACCAGTATTTGGCAAGCTTCAATCCTAAAGGGCTGAATTCAGCAGGGGTTTAGCATGAGACAAAATGCAGCCATATCCAAGGGCACTAGATAAGATGCTGTGCCTCTCTCTACTCAGAGCTACACTGACACCCTCCGCCAGCTCTGTCCTGTGGGAGTCACAGACCTCCATGAGGCAAATACCCTCAGCATGACTGATTTTAAGCAACCAGTGCAATGTGACTGAACACTGACCTAGGAAGAGATGAACAATTAGCTCTATAAGTCAAGGTCAACTGACTCCAGGTACCCAGAAAAATGTAGGTTTCTCTGATTTTTCTTACCAGTCATTTTTAAATACTGGAAGAATATTAGCCTAATTAAAAAACAGAACAAAAAAACCTTTAACTCCTGCACCAGAATGGAGAATTCAATTTTCAAAAGCATGTAGGCATTTGAAATGTGTCAACTTCTTTATCATAAGGCTGGCTTTCAGTACAGGTTATAGAGTATGGGTTTAGATCTAGACACTGCATCATGTAGTATTTTGCAGGACTTTTGGTAGAAAAAGAATTGTGATGTGTTATCCTTCAGGTTTCCTCAGTCACTACTCCTCTGATCCTCAAATTAGAAAGCACTACTTTGCAGACAAAGGTAATTTAAAATTAATGTAATTCTAAAATACTAGCCATTCATTTATCTGTTGCTCCATAACAAGAACAAAATCCTGTTTCTATCAGATAAATGTTGGCTAGTGAATGAAAATGATCAAGCCATTAATTTTCAAGTCAGGAGAGCCTCTGAAAATGGGACTGGGCCACACATCTCAGGGGAGGCCTGCCTCCTACCTCTTATTCTCTAATTTCAGGGGGAAAGAGGTACAAATTCCTTAAGCCCTAACTGATGGGCAGAGCCTTATTCTGTGCCTTGGGTAGATGCCAGTTTATGAGCTTTCACTTTCCACATATGGAATGAAAAGGCCTCTGGCGAACACAGGAGCTATGGCAGTTTGAGCAATTTCAACCTGTAAATATTTTTGAACATGGAATATAATGAAGAAAGATGAGCTGACTGAAAATGCATTCAGAAGGAACAGTATAGAAACAAGAAAAACTCTAATGGAAAAAACTATGAAGATCCCAATGTTCTGAAACAGTGGGAGGCAGAAATGCAATTCCATCTAAACTAAAGATAATATTACTAATAGGCCAGGCTCTAAGTCTATGGTTTACTTCTTGCCTGCACTTGACTTAATTAGACATGTACAGAACACATCTGTTGTGCTGTGTAGCCAGAAGGCTGGATAGGGTTCCTCAATTCTCCAGGCCTGATGTATCTATAACGCCCTGAGTTATTGAGGTCAACCTAAGGATCGTAAATCAAGAGATTCTATGGAAATAAAAACTCTTGTTCACATTTTGCAATTAAAAACAAGCTAAAAGGAAGGGATTCATAATACAGGATAACTACTTTTTGAAAAGTCAAGGGGCTGTGCTGTATGTTTTTAATTTTAAACCATCATCTTGATATGTTTAGGGATTTAATTTATGGAACAATCAAGCAATCTTTATATTTAACATTAAATGCCTGAATATTATAAATCATCTTAGATGAACATTTATGGGGGAGTTTCAGTGCAACTTCTGAACAACTTGTCACTTTTATTGTATAGCAATGATTTGTAAAAAATGATATGCTAAGTAATCCTAGAGTATAATTTAGGGACACAAAAACAACTGTCAAGAAACAGCCAGAGTCTATGTTTAATGAAATCTTTACAGACTGAAGTAATAAGTATTAAATTAATCAACACAGCTTAATTGAAGCTCTATCTGTAACATTTTTTATTAGACTTGTTATTAATGAGCCTTTAAATGCTACCACTAACTTGAGCTCTGTGTTAAATTTAAATAATGAGCCATTGTTCCCACACAAAAGAGAACAAACACTGCTTTACTAGTCCTTTGTCTCCATGAGCCTTTTACTCTCAGGCAGAGGGAGATATAGAGTCCTTCCTTCCTCTTGGAGTTATTTACATGGTTGGCAAAATATCATCTTGAAGGCTGCTGAAATGGTCCTAAATAACTAAAGTGAAATCAGTAAGAAAGTAAAAATGAAATAGCCAAGACTGAAAAGGATAGAAGAATTTTTGGCTGACCTCAAAGATGTTTTCAAAGCTTTACTTTTTTATTAACCTCAAAGTCACATGCCACAGAGCGACAGTTCAGTCAACTGTGGACCACACATACAGGCGTATACCATGCAGCTAAGAATACAGCAGGTTATACTCTTTAGGTCTGTGTAAGTGGATTCTATATCTGCCCAATGACAAAATTACCTAAAGATGCATTTCTCAGAACACATCCCGTTTCTAAAACGACAGTATGTTTAGGGATGTTCTGGTTTTTGTCAGCAAAGACTTACCTGAACATGTCTCCCAAGCCCTTCAGCATTCCCTTCTTGGCTTTCATTTTATCCTTTTCCTTTTCTCTATCTTTTTTCTTCTCTTTTCCAGTCTTGTCCTTTCTCCTATCAGTCTTGTCCCCTTTCTCTTGGTTCCCATTCATTTGTCTTTCCAGGGAATGGGAAGGCTGGTCACTTGCTGTGGACACAGACTCTCTCCCTGATCTTGAACTTTCTTCTGTGTCTTCTTCCACTTGAAAGAAATTGGGGGGGAAGATAAAGAATACAGTGAATGATAGCAACAAAGTAAGGAAACTAAAACACATATGAGGGCATTCCTTTCCCCATTTTCTACAGTACAAGGGCCCTGAAATGGTCATGTACTGCAGGGATAGTCAATGGTGAACAGAATTAGAAGGGTACTTATGTGACATGGGTGACTCCTATGCACACATGGAGCCCACAGGGAGGTGTACCACAATGGCAGGAGAGAAGCTGCTTCCTGGCAGGATGCTGCTGTGCAAATGGTAGCACCCTCTTGCTACAGAGCATGTGGGTGGCATTGAGGGAGGATCTGAGAGACCTCTGTGTGCAGTGAAGAACTATCAGGACCCTGTGTACTGTGTCTGCAAAGTGAAAAGAAAGAAAACATGCAGCCTTCCCCACTCACAGCCTTTCTTCTTAAGGACAGTGCAGATACGCTAAACTATACCCCTCACCAGCAGGCACACTGAAGTGAGCACAGGACTTCACTCCTCAGTCTCCCCGGTATGCCCAATATGATTTCATGGAAGAGTGAATTTTTTGGTTTATAGCTACAATGGATTTTCGTGGTCTTTGGGGTTTTTCTTTATATTGTTACTGTTTAAGGCCAACATGATAAGTAAATGTTGCCATATACATTCTGTGTTCTACTCCTCCATCATTCTGCATGCCTAGTTGCACAATGGCAGCTGAACAAAGGTGGATGGAGCTACAAAACCCAGTGAATCATTACCACTCTTTCCACTTTGGCAGGTAAGAGCTACTTAGTGCTAACAATGTGCCAGCCAGGAGACAACACTTTTCACATATGGTCCATGGCACTTCAATACAACATAGTTTGCACTGGAAAGAATGAGGGGCAACTGAAATAGGCTTCTACCTAATGGAAGAACTTTAAGATACTTATTTAAGTATTAAATAAGTATCACATAGTAATTCTCAGAAAACTTTTCTGGGATTGCTCACATACAACTGTCTTCCAAATATGGCTAGAATTATGGGAGTTTTGGGTTACTCCTTGAATTACAAGGTCACTTCTTTCCAGCATCAACAAATAAAATATGGATAAATGTTTTTGAGCTTTTAGGCTATAGAGCCAAGTAGGATAGTTAGGCTTCACCTCAATCTTTTGCAAAGAACTGATCTCTAAATCAAAGGAATTTTTCTTTAGGTGAAATTCAGTCTTGGGGCACTTGAAATATGAATAAACAGTACCAAGAGTATAAGACCAGCAAAAGCCATCCCATTGTATAAAACCTACAAAATCTGAGAAGAGATTATCAAATGATGGTCTAGTCATACCTAAGTAATACAGTTTTGTGGGTTTTTTAATGTCAGCTATTTAGCATAATACAAAAGAAACAAAGGTGCAGAATTCATTCTCTTGACACATTTGGTTACAAACATGAGCCAACATATTTCCTATCTCAGCAAGTTATGCCCTAGGTACTGCCAAAGAGCAGGCACATCACTGTCTAAATCTGGAAGGTCCTCTGGAGGTCGGGCCACCTTCTTCCATTTGGCAGTGGCACTCTCACAGTCAGGGGCTGCTACATCTACTTGATATCACTGCACCACTGAACTTTAGCAAGGCCTTCATGCATTACTTTGATCAACTCTGTTTGTGACTGCTCAATTCCACGCTTCACACGGCACGCATTTGGGTAATCTGTCATCCAGTCATCACATGGTCTGCCCAGAAGACAATTCCAGGAGTCAGTACTGCCTTTAAAACCCTACTGTCAATCTTCTGTGGTCATTTAATGCTGTGACTTGCAGCTCATATTGATGAACTCACTCACGGAACAGATCAAATGGGCACAGTGGACTCTGGACCAATGACTTTAGAAAAGCTGGCCTCTCCCTATACATGGATTATTGTGAGCCACCCTCCTCCAAAGGACACGGTGGTTCTTTAAAAATGTGCTTTTCTATGCTGGAGTGGCTCAAGCCACTAGTGCCTAGCAAGTGTGAGGTTCTGTGTTCAAACTCCAGTACCACTGCCTCCCCAAAATGTGCTATTTGGTCTTTATTAATATTTAAATAGTAGTTATACAAATTGTTAGAGGAAGCCAGTTACCACTTTCAAATTGACACAGTAAGAATCCATAGCTTTACAAATAATGCTGAGTTAAGGCAATAATTTTGTGTGTTCTACACAAAGCACCAGGCCAACTAGCCTGGGTGCTTCTTAAGTATATGCAGTTTTTCAGTTGAGAGCTCCCGGAGAGAATGCAAATGCAGCTTAAGCAATCACAGCTGTTTTGTCTGCTTGCAGACCATGGCTTCAACCATTTGGGGATGTCCAGAAATTCAAGTTAACTGACCAAATAGCCATGATTAGCAGCACCACTAACAACAGGTGTTGGCGAGGATGCGGGGAAAAAGGAACCCTTTTACACTGCTGGTGGGAATGCAAACTAGTACGACCACCCTAGAAAAAATTTGGAGGCTTCTTAAAAATGTAAACATAGATCTACCATATGATCCAGCAATACCACTCTTGGGGATATACCCAAAAGAATGTGACTCAGGTTACTCCAGAGGCACTTGCACACCCATGTTTATTGCGGCACTATTCACAATAGCCAAGTTATGGAAACAGCCAAGATGCCCCAGCACTGACGAATGGATTAAGAAAATGTGGTACCTATACACAATGGAATTTTATGCAGCCATGAAGAAGAATGAAATGCTATCATTTGCAAATGGATGGAACTGGAGAACATCATTCTGAGCAAGGTTAGCCTGGTCCAAAAGACCAAAAATCATGTGTTCTCCCTCATATGCAGACATTAGATCAAGGGTAAACACAACAAGGGGATTGGACTTTGAGCACATGATAAAGCAAGAACACACAAGGGAAAGTAAGAGGATAGGTAAGACACCTAAAAAACTAGCTAGCATTTGTTGCCCTCAATGCAGAGAAACTAAAGCAGATACTTTAAAGCAACTGACGCCAATAGGAGAAGGGGACCAGGAACTAGAGAAAAGGTTAGTTCGAGAAGAATTAACCCAGAAGGTAATGCACATGTACAGGAAATCAATGTGAGTCAACTCCCTGTATAGCTATCCTTATCTCAACTAGCAAAATCCCTTGGTCCCTCCTATTATTGCTTATACTCTCTCTTCAACAAAATTAGAGATAAGGGCAAAATAGTTTCTGCCGGGTATCGTGTGGGGAGAGGAAGGGGGGGGGTAAGGGAGGGGGTGGGGGCAGGGGGGAGAAATGACCCAAGCATTGTATGCACATATGAATAAAAAAATAAAAATTAAAAAAAAGTTCCATTTGTTCTCCAAGTCATATATATGACTATTATATATTGTATGTACACTTATATACATACATATATATATATATAAACTCACTCTTAGCAACTTTCATCTTTTTATCTTATGTATATATGATTCAAGAGAAGAAAAAAAGTAGAATCCTGGTTCATACTGAAGGATGCATTTTGTTTGATAGCAAAATATTTATTAGTTTCCATGGTGCCCTCTAGTCACCAGAATAACTACTATATTACTTATAAGTTTACTGTCAAACCATAATTGAACACTTTCCTTTCTTATAGTATGGACTCAAGATTAATGTATGAAAAAGTAAAGAAAGCATAAATAATTAAGGGAGGGGGTGGGGGGAAGGGGGGAGAAATGACCCAAAAATTTTATGCATATATGTATAAAAGAAAATAAATAAATAAATAAAGATTATCTGAAAAAAAAATCTCAAAATCTACTTAACCTAGGCCTACTGGTATACTGCCTCAATGGGAACTCCCTTTTACGCACAATTCCATAGGTCTTTGTACAACTGTTTACTGGTGAACTTCCTGTATGATATCGCAAGCAATCTATCTCCCATTCTCGATGGTTCTAAAACGAGGACTACCACGCAGAAATGAAATGAAATGAAAGATGACTGGTAAAACCTGACCAATGTCTTTTCCCAGGTACACTTTTATCCAACTTCTTAGTACCACCATTCTCCTACCTTCAGAAAAATGACGGCTCTTCTCTCATCAGGCCTGATATGACAAACCACAACCTAGCAACAGAACACCAGGATTGATCTACACATTGTACTTGGTTTACCTCTAATAGGATTCTGGTATATTTTTATGCTATAATTGTTAGTGCTGTATGTATCATCTAATAGACTTTACGACCCTCGACAATGTCTGAAACTATAAACAAAAAAGAGCTCAATAAATGTAAATGACTTAGTCTTCTACAGCAACCATTATCATAAATCATGAATGGAGTATTGGTAGCGATTCTGTTAGTTTTCTGCCTGAAGTTTTGGCAGAGGTTCAAGGGGCATATGCCTGCTCTTGGCTCCATAACAGAATAAATGCAGCGTCTTCACAACTCGCTATATGCTTAGGGCATGTTTCCTGCCAATTCTTTTCATATTCATAATAATTTTCTGGTGTATCTAATGCAACTTATTTTCTAAATTGGGTGAAACAGAGAAAGTATTAAATCATTTATTAACTTTGGGCTTTGTAACCTAATTTTATAAAATGAAAACTACCTTACTTTCCTGCCCCAAGCAAGCGGCTGTTTAAAATGCTACTTGCACATTTGAGAATTCTTTATGCTTGTTCTGAACATTCCAATTTAGATAATACATCATCAAAGAAATTCTACTGGGGGGTGTATGGATCTAACTAATCCCTTTGAATGCCAACTAATTAAAAATATTTAGCAATATGGAGTTTCATATGTACAAACATAAGATGTTCTTTTAGAGTATGACATTATATATGCTTCAAACTCAGAAACTATTCAATAGAAAAAAGAATTTTTCTTGTGTAAAAAATCATGAGTTTTATAAAAACTCAAACAAAGTGGTTACATATGTTTAAGTTTTGAAAAGATATATATACTCAAGGTCACTGTTATGTTACTCAAGTTCAAAGTTTTAAAACCCATCTTTTTATGTTTATTACTAGCTATATAATAAGGGCCATGAAATATTTTTAT